ATTTATTATTCACAATATGGAAAGAGGAAATAAAACCTAGTTCGTTACGAGCATGACTCAAACATACCATTAATGGGCTTATTCAAGTCCTCTTATTTTTTTTGTTATTTTTATCCATTCCGCATCTCCCACATATGTGTGTTTTAGCAAGGCAGTCTGTGTTGCAAGTTGGTGAATGAAGATACTTGCCAGGTTACGTGTCACTACTCTGCTTTATTAATTTATCCAATGTAAAACCCGGACACCGCCACACAAATGTGGCTTTTTTTTAATGACTGTCCTACTACAGGATTTAACACAGAGTAACAGCTCCCAACCAGTTACAAAAGACACTGTAACAGTCTGTCACAGGCAATTCTAGTTGCATTTTTCATCAATTCATTTCTTAAATGATCCTTTAACCATGTTCTGGCCCGCCATCTAGTGGCGTACATTTTTTTTGGCCCACTGCCAAACTTACTTCCCGACCCCTGACCTAGGGGGTCCTGAAAAAGCCTGATAAAGGCTGAAGACCCCTGATCTACACCAGAAAAACATCCTTCCAGGTAAGCACTTCTATCACTCATGGGTTAACCGTTGCATTGTTTGAGGTGTCACAGCACTGTCTGTCATATTTTAAGTGCAGAGAACTAAAGTGTCTATATGGCTATCATTCACGTCTAGCACTGTTCAGCCTCCCTACAGAAATGATTAGAGTGATGTTCAATCTGACAACAAGTCCAGTCCAATAACAGATCCAGATCACTCGGTTAGGCTCTGTTATCTGGAATCCACCCACACTGCAATGCTAGTGAATTCAGGACTTTGCTTGTCTGCAAAAACCTCCTGACTGAGACCACAGACAATAGATGTGACAGGACAGCTTAGACTAGGATGTCAGTCAGTTTTCGGAAACTGAAGGGCCACCGATTCACCAAAACAGTATAGAGCAGCGGCCCTCAACTAGACGGCCGCAGGATGATTTAAAGATAAGTATATTATTAATTCAATTCATTTTCATATTGTTATTAATTAATTAAAATAATCTATACATCCTATTTCTTTTATTGTCTATGACGTCTGTTCATTTCCCAGGTTTTTTTTGTTTTGTTTTTATAATAATACTAATTTAACACAAAAAAACAAGCAGCTTTGTCATAATAGGATTATCCAGCATAATTATAGCAGAAATACTGGAGGAAATATGAAAGGCCCTTTGAAAGAAGTGTTGGAACAAGGGGGGCCTCAATGTCAAAAAGGTTGAGAGACACTACTGTAGTTTAGATGACAGACACACTATATTGCTGTTGAACTGTTTCATATGTCATTAACACAATACATTTTCCATTGCTGACTGCATGCAACACCAAATATGCAGCTCAAAAGAATGGCCCAAATGGAGCCAGTCGACTCATTTGTAATGTAACAAATGTTGAACTGACTGGTAAATCAATATCAATCAAACTAACAAGTGGAATAATCTTTTAAGCTGTGTTCACACACCAGCAACTTTATCTCTGTAATGTGAAGATCCTAGCATTGTGGCTGTGATATTAGTGGTAGACTGCACGTCTAGACATATCTTAAGAAAATGCAACCACGGATGATTTATTTCTGGTAAAACCCAAGATATCATTCTAATTTTACAAGCAATTATTTATCTTGTTGCTAAAAAAAAGGTAATATTCTGCTGTTGGAGAGGTTTGTTACTACTACTCAGTGCATTAAACAGATGAACAACCAATCAATCTATGAAATAAACTCACTCATATACTTCCAAAAATTTCTGCAACAGCTTTTGTAAGTATTGTGAAACTTACAACATTGTAATAAATTAAATGATTTTAAATAATAATAAAAATGTTTTAGCTCAGTTTATCATTTAGCAAACATAAACAATAAAGCCTAACAAAATTATTAGGGTTTGCAAAAATAAACAGCATTGTGTAAAGTAAAAACATCATTGAGCAGCAAACACTGAACTGACCTCATCTAAATCGGTTTATCGTCTGTCTCGCATATGCACTCAAATGAGGAAGCTGCTGACTCTAAGCTGTAATATGAAAACATGCATTGTGAATGAGGAGCCAGATCAGGGTTTTTTTCTGAATGATGCATAAACACAGTGGCTCGCCACTCCCTCTGCTTCCTTTACCATCCTGATCCGAGCATTATAGGGATTAAAATCTCCCATCATGCCTGGCTTCGCTCCAGCATGCGCACACACAGACTGTATGTAAGACTTTATATTCAAGACTGTACCCATGCTCATTTGAGCACTTAGTATAGAATTAAACTGCACGTGTTGGCTTTTTACACGCTGCACTATGCCAACACAGCAATCTGTATCTCTGACATCAAACTCACTGCTATATTCATAGTGACTGAGTTTTGCTTATTATACAGTCACTGATGTAAAAGTACCTACAGACTTTGAGCAAAGTTCATCTTGAAAACTATGAAAACTGGTTGCCTGGGCAACAGCTAACAGCACACCTTTCTCTAGGGAGCACAGGGGAGAGGGGTGGGCGGCAGAGATGCTCTGCTAATGTAACCATGGAAACTGGCCTGCTTGGCTTTCATTGACAAAATAATCCCGCTACACAGAGGCTGAGTCTTTACAGTCCAACATTACAGAAGAAAGAGAACAAAACCTTGAATTATATAATGGTACCCTTAACAGTACCAATGAATGTAGTGCTCATTAATATCGTATCATTATCTATATGAGAAAATAGTACCTTAACACTGTAGACTGCCCTGCTACCATCTGTGCATTGTACTCCTATTGGAGTATTGGAAAAGTATTGGAGGTCTATGCATTTTACAGAAATATTGACCAGTGGCTATATTTCAAAACAAATTGTAGTATTTACTGCATTATTCCAGCTTCAACCTGGTTATCAAAATTATTATAAGAAAAAATATCTATTTGGGAAATTTAAGCTATTCCCAATTTAGCAAGCTCCTGCAGAGTTATATCTTTATTTATTAAATATAAAGCCAAATTTGCAACCCTGTCACAGATTTTGGCATACTGACATATTTATTAATTGTACATTTATTATTTAAAATTTTTGTTTATTAAATGTTTACTGCTAGAAAGAAGCAATCTCAAAATAGATTTTAAACGGTCTTAAAAGTATCACATTTCAGTAATAAGAATCCATTTTTAAACTTCACATAAATAAGTCTAAAATAAAAGACTTCACATTTAATGTTTATTTGCCATCCTGCCTTTGCCCTGCTATTTCCTGATGGTTAACCACCTCTTTGTTGAATTTTGACCCTATTTTAGAGTTCGCCCTATTTGGTGCCATTCTTTGAAAGTGCCTTTATAGTGAAATGAGGCAAAGGAAATCACTTGTTTATAAGATCTCATTTTTTAACATCTGTGTTTAAGGCCTTTGATTCATGTGATAAATAATTCGGGCAAGAGTTGTTGAATCAGAATAGGACTCACTCAGAAGAATCTATGAAGTATATTCCCAGAGCTCCGATGCTGAGTGCAAAGACCAACACCACCTGGAGGAGGAGAGAGAAATGGGGAAGGATATCATTAGTGAAGGTCCACTGAGAACAGTACCACTTACAGAGAACAGTTTCATCCTGGAGCTGTTCAACAATGAGCACAACTCACTTCCACCCATACTACACATGTGGATGAGACATAATAAACAGGAAATGTCATAAAACTGTAAGTGCTCCCACCAAATCAGGCTGTGTTTCCAAACCTAGTGAGCTGTCAACCTAAGCATGGTTTATGGACACTGTGGGCTCATTTGAACGTTCAAACATGCCTGTGAAACAGTCTAGGGAGACAGCAGCTCACCAGGGTTAGAGATGCAACTCTAGTCTTAGCTCTCTGAATTTAATCAAGTGAGAGTAACTTTTAAGAGAGACTGTGAAGGGCTTTATTTTTATTTATTTTTTTTCAAAGGACTGAATTCATTTAAGTGGTAAGCCCTGTATTTAAAAATGTATTCAAAGTCTCTTACCCCATTTCTTAGCAAAATTAGAGAAGATTTAAACTGATGGGATACTCTACCTATTTCTTGATTAGGTAGAGTGGCTCTTATAAAAATGACTGTCCTTCCCAAGCTTCTATACACAATTCACATGATCCCTATTCTGTTCTCTAAAAAGGTTTTAAAAGATGTGAATGGCTGGCTTAGCTCCTTTATTTGGACAAAGTGCAAACCAAGATTGACATTTTCTGCACTACAATTATCAGGTTCAACGGGAGGACGGACTGGATTTGCCTAATATTAAGCTATACCAATGGTCAGCACATCAAAGATACATTTCTGATTGTGTTGCTCTTGATAACTCTTCTACTTGGTTGGACCTTGAACAGTCATTGTCAAAACTTCCCCTTGTGGATCTGTTGTTTCTCAAAAAAATGAAATCCTTATTGGAGAACTGTGATAACCCTGCAACTGTAAATGCACTTAAGGCATGGAGGGCTGTTTGTCATTTCGAGGGAATAAGTAAATTAACTTCTGTGCTTTTACGCCAATTGTGAATAACCCAGACTTCCCTCCGGGCAGATTTGATGACATAGAATGCATGTTTCACCAAACTGTAGACATGCATTTAACCAGTAGCGAACCGTGACTTTTGAAACTTGGCCCTCTCCCCCTACCCTTGTCGGGGGAGAAACAGACTACCAGCCTAGTTTACAGAGTCTAATTCTAAAAGTCATCTTTGACAATTCCACCGTTGAAACAAGAGGCTATTCCAGCCTTAACGCGGTCACATAACGGATGAGAAGCGCAATGCTGCGCCACACCATGTCTTTAATATTCGAACACTTGAATTGTTTTCTACACGCGCACCGGCGACTCCACCGGCCTCTGTGCTTTGACTACAATAGACGGCACTTTCTCATTCTGTTTGCTCGGTTTTTGTTTTAATCACCGAACTTCAAACTCATTGACACTACTTGCTTATTCTTGAAGTGAATGTTTGACTGTTCGGAGAGTAGATTAAAGGTTTTGGACTGCCATCTCGAACTGAACACGACGCGTCCAGTGTGCGAGGTTGCCTTAGACTCATGCATCGCACGGCAGCGGTGCGGCGCTGCGCTTCTCAAGCAAGCAGTGTTTATATTAAATAATATTATTATTGGCACAGCAGCCCAGTAAATGTCCTCACTTACGTTATTTGCAGCTTCCATCGTGACGTGAATAATAGCTAGTTAGTTTATCAGCGTATATATATTTTTTTTTTGATAGAGATCCCACAGCGGGTGGAACTTGTCATAAAGTTAGTGATAACAAGGCCCGCCCATTTAGAGGAAATATATGATTGGTCAGTTTTTCTGACTTTTAAAATTCCGCTCCCATTGATTTACTATTGCTTGGCCCTCTGTAATTCCCAATCACAGAGCCGCAAACGCTAGGTGGAAACATTCTAATACGGAGAAAATGGGCGGCGTTCATTTAACGCATTCACTGTATGGGCAGATTTGAGGAGTTTATTTCCACAGAAATTGTATTTCTTTTATTTAGATGATGATTGTGAAATTATTAATTGCTTAAATAAAAAGGGGAAATTATGACTTTTTATAAAAAATAATATTTGAAAGTTTGTCCTTTAAAAAAATATGTAAAAATTGTTTTTACAATAGTTTAGGCCCACTCTGAGCCTGATGGTTCCCCACTACATTTAACAATACCCTTTCACCTCTATGCCTTAAGTGTAAAACACAAATTGGTACTCTAACTCAATGTCTTTGGTCATGTAATCAGTTAAAATATACTGGGCCAAGATTGTATCTGAAATGAGTAATATCTTTGATAAGCCGTTGGTACTGGTTTCTTTATTTTTGATCATTGGTCTGCCGTATCTTTTTTTGTTGTTGTTGTTGTTATCAAATGAAAAGAGAATTTACTATATTTTTACATTGCAGCCAGGAAAAACATATTATTGAGGTGGATAAATGATAAGATTCTGAATATACAGTGCCTTGCGAAAATTAATTTTTTTCACATTTTGTTAAGTTGCTGCCTTATGCTAAACTGCTTTAAATGACTTTTTTCACACATCAATCTATACTCCATACACCATAATGGTAGAGCAAAAAACTGTTTTTTAACATCTTTGCAAATTTATTAAAAATAAAAAACTTAAATTATTCCATTGCATAAGTATTCATACCCTTATCTGGGACAGTTGAAATTTAGCTCAGGAGCATTCAAATTGCTTGTAGATGTCACTACACTTCAAGTGAAGTTAACCTGTGACAAATTCAATTGAATGGGTATGATTTGGAAAGGCACACATATCTTAATAAAAGGTCTAACAGCTGATAATGCATATCAGAGCAAAAACCAAGCCCTGAGGTCAAAATAACTGCCTGTAGAGCTCAGAAACAGGTTTGTGTCAAGCCATATCTGGGGAAGATTTCAGAAAAAAAAATCTGCTTCATTGAAGGATCACAATTTGAAACAACCAGGACTCTTCTTAGAGCTGGCCTCCTGGCCAAACTGAGCAATTGATGGAAAAGGGTCTTGGTTAGAGGGGTGACCAAGAACCTGATGGTCACTCCAGTTGAGCTCCATGATCCTATATGCAGATGGGAGAAATCTAGAGAAGGACAAATATCACTGCAACACTCCACCGATCTGGGCTTTATGTCGGAGTGGCCAGACTCAATCTTCTCCTCACTGAAGACACGTGAAAACACACTTGGATTTTGCATAAAAACACCTAAAGGACTCTCAGACTCTGAGAAACAAGAGTCTCTGGTCTGATGAACCTCAATTCCAAGCATCATGTTTGAAGGAAACCACCCCAAAAGTAAAGTGTGCTGGTAGCAGCCTCATGCTGTGGGGCTGTTTTTCAGTGGCAGAGACCGAGGGACACGTCAGAGTAGAAGATAAGCTCAATGCACCAAAATATTGAGTTAGCCTTAATGAAAACCCAGTCCAGAGCATTCAGAACCTCAGACTGGGCAGAAGGTTCACCTTCCAACAGGACAATGACCCGAAGCACACAGCAAGAGTGGCTTATAGACAACTCTGTGAATGTCCTTGAGTGGCCCAGCCAGAGCATGAGCATGAACCCAATCAAATCATTCTGGAGAAACTTGAAAATGTGCATTTGCTCCCATCCAACCTGACAGAGATTGAGAGGTGAAGAGGCGAGGAGAAGAATGGCAGATAATTGCCAAATGATGATGATCAAAGCTTGTCGCATTAAACAAAAAAGACTTGAGACTGTAAAGGTGCTTCAGCGAAATATTTAGTTAAATGTACTCATTTAAATTTTTTTATTTTTAATAAATTTACGAAGTTGTGACAATTCTGTTTTTGCTTTGTCAGTATGGTGTATGGAGTGTAGATTGATGTGGGAAAAAAAGTAATTTAAAGCAGTTTAACATAAGGCAGCAACATAACAAAATGTGAAAAAATGAATGGGGTATGAATACTTTGGCAAGGCACTGTATCTGGCTGGCACAAGATTTTAAGTGAACTAATTCAACTGGAATACTTTTGGAATATGTTTATGGTCAGCCAGGTCAGTTTCTAGGGAATGAACTGTCAACTATTCTGTAGAAGAGGTTTCCTATTCATGTACTCCAAGTGAGTGCATAAGATTTTGAACTTGTCTTGTACTTCCACTATGCATTTAGTGTGGTTCTCCACTTGATTTTTGATTATCTACATTTTTTATTTTTCCTTTTAGTGGCCTAGGATAAATCTGTTTATTCTTCTGCCATTTTTTTTTTAAGATCATGGTTTATATTCCTGTGTGTTTTGTTAAAGTTGGAAAATGTTCAATAAATATGTTTGAGAAGAAATAGGGCTAAATAAATCATTGATATTCAACTGTCAACTGTAGTTGGGAATCTAAACTCAGGTTTAGAGCAGGGAGACAAACGTAATGTATTTTTCCCCCTCCCATTGGTTTTGACATGACAGACTACAAGCAATACATCACAGATACTACTTCACACAATTGTAGATATATACATATTAGAGTCTAATTAATGTTACTTATAAGTACAAATAAAATTACAATGTTTTTTTTCCTTTTAAGTTTGTGATTTATGTATTTGAGTTTATAGTTGTGAGTCTGAGACAAACAGACTGTTTATGTTTATTGTGTTTATGTACTGTTTTAATTGTTGTGCAATGTTATGACTCAGTGGCTGCTTTTTTAAATTTTACAAAGTAATTTATTCCTTCCTGTGATGCAAAGCTGAATTTTCAGTAGCCATTACTCCTGTCTTCAGTGACACATGATGTTCAGAAATCAGTCTAATATGCTGATCCAGGGTTGCTGCAGGATTTTTAAGCTCAAATTTAAAACTTAAGACCTTTTTTAAGACCTGCACAAATAAAATTAATACCATATGAGTGGGGTAGGGCAATGTCTATAGTACCATATTAAACTGTAAAATTACTCTAAAAAGCATAATTTACAGTTCAGATACAAGTTTTAAAATTATAAACTTTACATTTCAGCCTTTAAACCATTGTTAAGAAAATGGATGAGTCAAAAGTATTAATTATTAT